AGTTCAGATACTGGACCTTTCACTCTACACAGCTAATCAATGGAATGAATGGATAGCAAATAATGTGGGAAAGGGATTTCATTCATTTCAGGGACTAAGGGGAATGCGACATGGAATTTAATTCTGGCAAATTATCTCCAACCAGTTGACATAATCAATAGAGCATTTACAATGCAGCTACAAGATCACTGACCTACAGTATGTCTCTCCTACCATGTGTTGTCTTGAGCATTTATAAATAGGAAGATTGGTATTTTTATCTCGCAAATGTGGGTAGAGTACAGCATTCATGAATTTAAGGTTAATCCTAAAGGTTTAAATGGCAAATATTGAGTCAAATTAGCATTTTATCTACTCAGAACACTTTGAGGAAGATTGAAAGCACAAGTCCATCATTATTCTAGTGCTTATGAGCCACATAAGAAGTACTGATGACACCTGCAAAAGTTACTAAAAGATCCCACTTCACATTGTTTACAATTATTTGCTGATAAAAGCTGCTAAGTGTGAATACATAGCTATTATAGTAGTAGCAGCTTTTGAATCAGAAGTGCATTATTATTTCATGCTAGATCACACAGTATATACTGTAGCAGACTGTAACAAGAAGGTTTAGTCTGGCTTTTGAAAATATGCAGCTAAAAGGAAATTTGTGACAAATTGCCATCACAGTCAACTATAGACATTGGTAGGATTTTCAAATGATTAATTGATTAATTGAAATAAGCTAGTTTTGTTGTAAAAGCCTATTTACAATGTAAGATGCTATTGTTCCTAATAAAAATGCCTGGTCAACTACATTTTAGGAGGGTGAACAAGACAACACAAATAAAATTGGTCACTGTTAATTTAAACGTTATATTACTGAAAAAATAAAGTGTAATATACTGTAGACAAATGGCATCTTGTTGGACATACAGTATACAGATATGGCTTATTATAGCATCTGTAGCCGAGTCAAATTTAACTTGCTTTATTTCAAAGAAACAGGAAGAGGCAATGATTGAGTAGCTGATTCTGCAATAAAAGTGCTTTATGCACTTTTACCAACATTGATCAACGTCAAGAAAAAATGTTTAAAATTTAAACATGCTCTAAATTAAGCTTGATTTGAATGGATTCTTGCATCATGTTCAAGATTTGTTAAAATCTCATTTCTGAGAATATATTGCTTAGTTACCCATTTTAGTGCTCTCTAATTGGACTGTGACTTATTGCTGTGACTTATTTGATTATTTGATCTCTTTGCGACATACTTTTGGATGGTGCTCACTATAACAAGACACTTTGCTGAAGCAAACTGCCAGCATTTATGTTTTTGTCCATTTAGGTTAATTCTATAAAATTAAAAAAAATGTATTTCTCCATTCTATAACCTAGTATTATTTTTCAATTTGAACTTGTTATCACTATTGTACCTAAAAAAGGCGTAACTGTCTAGAAAAAAACTCACAGTGGACGCTGAGAGCTGTTAGAAAAAGGTTTTAAATCCATGATGCTGCATCAACTTACTGTAACTGTCCACTGCTGACTAGTAATGATCTATCCACTTCACAGTTCATCCTTATTTTTTGTCATTTAATGTACAGTGATACTGTAGAAGTTAAATTTATGCAATAATAGTGGTTGAGTGATTGACTAAGTGTGTTATATTCTTTAAAACGTTTTTGTTTTAAGCTACTGTTGTTGATAGCATTCTAGAGGCATCTTTTTCTGGCTTTCTCTTCAGTGCTTGATTTTGAGGGTCTCTGGTGGCTGGCTTTATATCCATGGCTTTATATTCACACAGTACTATGGGAAAACCTTTACAGTGATACAAAGTCAGTCTTTAAGTAAAGGAAATTGCTTTCCAGGTTTTTAGTGCTTCCAGAACATATTACACTAAGTGAAGGCCGGAAATTCAGCCCTCAGGTGCTCACTGTGTTTGAATGAATTTAAATGGCACTAGGATGTGAGCTCCAGCTGTACATTCAATAATTTGGAATTAAGGGTTTGATGAGAATGTGATAAAATATTTCCATTTAACAATGATTTATTTTAATAGATAATTGATTAAATCCATTATATGTATTTGTATTTCTATGTATTTGAATATTGTTGATTGTTAAATAAATCTCATGAAAGGTTTTAATATGTAATGAAAATGATGAGGGTAAGTGTGAGGAAGTTGTATGATTGTGAACAAATATGAAGCAAAATAAATAATTATTAAGTGATGACATCAAAAGGGAGGAGAAATTTGGAGAGCTTTTAACCACTACCTAACAAAGATATTTTGTTAGAGTAAAGTGAAAGTGATTATTATAAATATGGTATTTGTTAGAATTGATCAAATATTTAGACATTTAAATCTGATTAATAATGATGAAAAGTTAGAGCATTTCAGTTTGCTTTTATCGCTGTTCTTATAAGGGATGCACTTGAGAAGTATTTTAGGCATAACCATTACTCACCGGTCCTTGACTTAAACAAAGTGGATATACTTTTAACACTCTCAAGCAATAAAAAGAAAAATTGCAGATAGAAAGTCTCTCCCCTATTTTATTGTTTGTTACTTAAGAAACAAAACATGTCCTTGTAGATAATGTTAGATAAAAAGCAATCTTACTCAAACAGAGTTTACTGAGAAAATCTAAAATAATAAAGATCTACTTTTAAATAATCAAATGTGTAGGGATAATAAATTTCAATGAAATCTTAATTCTTTTGTTTGCAATTAACATTTGTCAAAAAAGATATCTGACAAATGAAGAACATAAATGAAGGACAACCACTTCTTATCTTTCTATCTTAAGAAGAAGAATGTTAAAATGAATATACTGTACAATATTTACCAACTTCCAATTGGACACACCACGCAACACTTAAACTACAGTGTTTAAGAGCATATGAAACATTGTAAACTACAGCAGGCCACTGGGCCAAATTAGTTAACTGATTTGATTGTTGGTATCTAATTAAGCCATAATTAGGTTCTCATCTAGCCAGTTTATAAAATATTAGCTTTAATAAAATGGCTGGGTAGTTTGACTTCCACAGCACATTGTGTAAAACAAGAGTCTCCTGTACTCTATTTGAAAAGGCTCTTTCCCTTATTTTCCATTTGTGTCTTCTGGTTTGTGCTCCACTGCTAAATATAAAGAAGTTCACTAACTACAAATGAACCAAATGGGCCAAATGTCCTCTCATATGTTCTAATGATCTTATTTATTTGTGTTGCCCAAGGCTACTCCAGCAGTGTCCCATCTGGAAAAGAGCCCTAACTATTGCTTCAACATCATTCCTCATTTATACGCATTATCACATCATCCTTTGGACGTAATTCTGGGGTTATCCTTATTTAAAAGTTGTAGAGGTGGCCATGCCTGGTTAATTAGAGATATTTTGTCAGTGCATCTCATAAAAGAAAACAGAATGCCTAAGCATATGTGTGAAATCAAGCCAAAAAACAGGAGAGAACTTACATTTTCTTTAAAAATGGACAGGGACTCAATTTCTTATCCTTGTAACATGCAGCACATTTATCTCGGAAGATGAATTTGTGCACACTGTTTCTGGCAAATATTTCTTTCTCTGAGAGTCTTTCTAATTCTAAGTTCTGTTTTTCAATTCTTGATATTTATCTTCCATGCTCCACAGAGCTGGGGAAATAGAAAATAGAAAATTGAAAGCCTTAATAATGAACTAACAAGCTATGCTTCCTTGAGTTTAATTCAGAAATAAACTTGAAAGATTTATTGATCGCGGAAGAATTTTGCCTAGCAGTCTGTTATTTAGCTTGTCTGTGATGCAACAATGCCAACAGAAAGTCTTTGAGTGTAGTATCTCTGTGGTAATTCTGATGTCATTTACTGTAATAATGAAGCTGAATTTTAACTGGATTGTTAAACCCTTTTGTGTTCAGCCATAATTCAAAATATTGCTAATGATGTGACACCTAAAGATTACTATTCTCATTTGTAAGAATGCATTGTAAAAAGGCCATCTTTGCTTTGAACATTGTTAACACTCTATTTGCCATTGAGTATAAAGCTTTAGAATTTCCTTAATTCTGTATTGATGAATTTCCCATTTCTGTCTTCTTCCCCAGATCGAAATGTTAGAGCACAAATATGGGGGCCATCTGATCTCTCGGCGTGCTGCTTGCAAAATCCAGACTGCCTTCCGACAGTACCAGCTCAGCAAGAACTTTGAGAAGATCCGCAATTCCCTCCTGGAGAGCAGACTGCCACGGCGTATCTCTCTGCGCAAGGTTCGTGTGCAGAACACTGAAGGCTTCTCTGCGGAGAAAGCTCTAGTTGAAGGCTACAACTTTGTGGGCATCCCACTAGTGCGCTCTCCATCACTCCCCGCCACCATCAGCGGGGCTCTTACTGAGCTGGAGGACTCCTTCACTGAGCAGGTCCAGTCCCTGGCCAAGTCCATCGATGATGCCCTCAGCACCTGGAGTTTGAAGACAATGTGCTCCTTGCAAGATGGTGGCACCTACCAGTTTACAGAAACCTTTCAAACAGGTGCACCTGGAGTAGGGGCTGGAGAGGTGGGTCTGAGTGATGCTTCAGATCAGGAGAAAAAAGAGGGTGAAACTTCTGACTTGCCCCACAGTGGGAGCACATTAATGATGGCTTTCCGGGATGTGACAGTGCAAATAGATAACCAGAATTTCCACATGTCCTCCTCAGTGATGGAGTCCACTTCTCTTTCACTAAGTAATTGTCTCCAGCAAGGCAGAGAGACCAAGGAGCCCCAAGAATCAGTTCAAGAGGACCCCCAAGATGGAAATGACCCAGACTCCAGTGAAGATCAAAATGAGTTTCCAGACCCCCCACCCAGTGAAGAGGAGAGCAGCTTAGAGCAGCAGCTGGCCCTGCAAAAACTGGAGGTGGCTGAGCCCGAAGAAAACCAGGAAGTGGTGGAGGTAAAGCGCAGTGAGTCAGAGACTGCAGATAACAGCTCAGAGCAAATGAGCAGCAGCAGCACCTCCACCTCAGCCAAGTCGACCTCTGAAGTCTCCTCAAAAGAAGCATTACAGGCTATGATCCTCAGTCTTCCCCGCTACCATTGTGAGAACCCAGCCAGCTGCAAGTCACCCACCCTCTCCACTGATGTCATGCGCAAGCGTCTCTACAGGATTGGGCTCAACCTTTTCAATGTGTAAGTATGAAAAATGCTACTAGGTTTAACGCACCTGCACCTATCAACATATGGGTAAACATGTTGTAAGATAAGATAAGA